ATCAACACCACATTTATTTCCAGCTAGACTACTGTTCCAGCTCCCACATAATCCCAGCAACTCTGATATGCAACATTAGATATCTAATATGCAAAAATGATAACATGCAATGGAAGTAGTCTGAAATAAAAGGGGCGAATGAGAAGAAATCACTGATAATATTGTTATCATATACAACAGCTGACACAAAGTACTATCCTATACTTCTGGTCCAGAACAGATGAGGGATGCAATGCAATATTGCCAGACAACACAGCCAGGCAAGCCATGGCTTTGTGTTGTATAGTATCCCCAAAATCTTCACATTAGGAGGGAAGGGAAAAGAGTTTCCATGATGTAGCATGCTAATACAAGATAAAGATCCACCTCAGGCTGATGGGCTCTTACAGCTTGTCAAAAAGTGCTGCTTCATCTTAGGTAGACATATCTAAACCAACCTTGCTGCTGCCTGCTAACACCACGGGGTCATTCAGGGTCTGTGAAACCTGCCTGAGAGTGAGTAAATACTCAAGTAACTAGTCCTGGCACACACAGTTGGGTAATTCCACCAGACAACCTGTGTCATGCCTTGAGCAGATACAACTTGTGGGGATAGCTAGGCATCATCGTGGCATGGTAGATATTTCAAAGCAGTGGTCTCCAACCCGCACGTGGAGGCAATACAACAGACACCACTCTATTACAGGCAGAAAAAGCTGTCACCACCACCCAAGTATGTATTTTGCTCTGCATTTTTGCCTAAGGCAAAGCAAAGGGATGCCTGGTATACAAATTTCACAGGTTCACAGTCTCAGTGTAAAATTGATCAAAATGAAGTGTTAACTGAGGACTACAGGTATTTCAGATTTTAAGAATTCCGAAAAGTGCATCAGCATAGGGTATTAGCTTACCTGCAAACAAAGAGGACCTATTAAGGAGACGGATATTGACTTCTGAAAAGCCATGATTCGACTTTGAAAAACAAATTTGGATTATTAACTGGTACTTTTAGTCAATATATTAGAAATAACTGAAATTTTGCTGAAATACTGAACATATGAGAGACTTTTTTTTGGTCTGTATTGTGATCTAGTCCACAGATTTCCTTCAGAAACAGTCTCTGTCTAAGCAGCTCTAGAGTTGGGGGAGGAAAAGGAGAGGCAAAATATTAAATAATTTAAGCTTTTTATTGAGGAGAAGAGAGAAGTGTACATACATGTGAATAAAGGCACGTCAGCCAAGACCTGCTGCATGAACATTTGATGCCCCTGAGGAAGAATAAAGATGTCCCTGAGGAAGAACAAAGTAACAAGATATTTGAATGGATTTCATTGGCTCTGGAAAGGGCCAAGAGTCATTACCAAAGTTTGCTTTTTTTTTATGCTTAAAATTTAATTCATTTAATATTGAACTCCAATATATGTATCTTCACTTTTTTTTTTTGTTTTGCTTTGTTTTGTTTGTTTCTTATCTCATCCTTCTCACTTCCTATAATGTTTTAAGGGATAATTAATCAAACACTAGAAAGGCCTGGACAAAAGACCGCTTTTGTTACTAAAATTCATTTTGAAAGCCGGTCGTTCAAAATTAAAAGTCTTTCAGTAGAAATGACAGATTCTAAAATACAGACACTAAAAATAATACAAAGCAGAGGGGATTAGCCGTATTTATTCCTAGTGGTGAATGCATAAGCTTCCTATCTTTTATGGAAATACAAAGTTAATTCCAAAAACAAAAGATGTGTAGAAGTGCTCAGAGTGGAGGATTTTGTAGGTTCCTTGCTCAGCCAGCACGCAGGCCCTCTTTCACCTGGAGATGGATGTGAGCATCCCCAGATGGATTGGATTTTTCCAAGACAGGCTTAAAGAAAGAAAAAAAGAATCACATACGCTTTTTTTTTTTTTTTCCCTTTTTGCATCTGCCTTGTTCCTCCACTCTGGACCAGAGCATTTTACCTCTATTTTACCTCTGCTTCAGCCGTAACAGCATCACCAGCGAAGCTGTTTCCCCTGGGACCTCTGAACTGTCGCCTCTCGGTGTCGGTCCCAGGACACCTCAGGTTTTCCTTCTCCGTCTCTACCTTCCTCATGGCACATTGCTGCAAACCCCCATGTCTCCGTGAGTCAGCAAAAGCAACCTAACATAATACTTTAACCTAACTAACTAACCTAACTAATACTTTATCATGACTTGTTTTTTTAATCTGAGACTGCACATTATCAGACATTCCTATTCTGGCTTCATGGTGTATGGACACACAAGATTCACAGAGATCCATCTTAAAACACAAATCTTCTAACCATTAGGCATTCTGTGCTTTGTTAATATATTTTTCTATACTGTTTACAGTGTTCTCCGCAACTGTAAGGAAGGAAAATGGATGTCATTAGACTGCTTTCATTAAGTGCATGACACAGTTCAACAGTTTGTTTTTCTTCCCCATCTTCTCTTAATTCACAATCCTTTTCCCCTCAGCTTTGCATTATTCGTATGTGTCATCCTTGGCTAACTCCTGTGACAAATAGAACTGTAGTGACTTTATTTGGGATCAACAGTTCCGCTCACAATATTAGAAGGAAAAAGTTAAGGCAGCTGCGTCACGGGGCCCTGGCTGGCAGCTCGTGCCGCGGCCCAGGAAGCTGCCCGCAAACCACCGCCTGCCGAGAGCCCCGTGTGGCCAGAGCGCCCATGGAAGCTCCCCTTCCATCGGCTTTACATGGGGTGTTTCTGGGAGTGAGAAAGCATAAACAGCAAAATAGACCTGATCACATTACAGATATGCTGAGTTAGATTTAATTTACATCTCTTAAGCTGCCTATCTAAAATGCAAGCAATGAATATGCATAATGTTTTAATGAATACCATTAATTGAGATATTAGCTATTGTGTAAAATGGTCTCTACATGACAACCAGGAGTGGTTTTAACTCCTTTGGCTCAAGAAACAAACCTGTTTATACAGTTCCAGCTTTAATCTGTGTTAAAACCCAAGTGATTTGAATAATTTATTTTGTGTTTTCTGAAATTACCCATTGTTATAACAGGTTGATTTTGGCAGCGCTTTTACTACTTTGACTGTTCACAAGTTGTCTTAACAGTCTCAGACAGTGTCAGACCTAGAGACTGCATCTCATGCCAGCTGGAGTGAGAGCACCGCTTTGATGTATAGAAATATAGTTTTTAAAAGTCAGGGTCTTCTAGCAATTCTCCATAAACTACAATGGCAGCTGTGCTAGAGGTCATGAATATTGCAGAAAGGTTGTCCATGCATTCAAGTCAGCATCAGTAAGCCAAATTCCCATAGCAACACTTGCATAGATTTACCCATCACTAAGAGATGCATCGGTTCAGCACTTAAGTGTTATGGTGTTCTCCTTATTAGCCCGCAAGATATTACTACTTCAACTTCTTGAAGAGATCATTTATTTTACTGATAAAATTCAGCGCTTTACCTGAGTTTCAGAGCAATCTTCATCCTCTCACCTAAGAACAGAGAAATCTTAAACTAACAGAATGAGACCCTGATAAAACTAGAACTCCTGTCTGCACGGTGGAAAGAAGAAATGGGCTGCTGCAGCGCTGCAGCTATGCTGATCCCAAGACAGCAGGTCTAGACGTCAAAGACATGTTCAGCATCTCCTATGACTGGCAAGCTCCAGCAGTTCATTAAAAACCTGCTTTGGAAGCTCTTATTAAAATCTGCTAACTATAACATTTTCCCCAAAACATATTTGGTTTCCCTGTTTAAGTATTCTAACCTGAAGAAACTGGCTGCTTGTGCATTATACTACTGTATTATTTATTGAGCTGGCTCTTTTCCTGTAATCAGGTTAACACCTCAATAATCCGAATGCCTGAATTTATGAGAAACCCTTGTAGCGCAGGCGGCATAAATGGGCAGAGGCAAAGCTGGCAGCGGAAAAGGAAACAGAATGCAAGATGGACCAGGGATGGGGAAACAAGGAACAAGCCAAAATGGAGGAGGGGAATCAGAGAGAAAATGAGAAACACAGAGATCACAGGAGGGAGAAAAGGGGGAGACTTCTCAACTGCTTATTTAAATATTGAAATGGGAAAATTTAAACTGGAAAAACAGACCATACAAAAGAGTGCTACACCAAGATTTGGCAGACAGCACACAGAAATAAAAGTGAAATGAAGGGATAAACAAATGAAAAAACATAAGATAATCACACTGGGGGTTTTTGTTCACTTGTTTTTTACAGGTACAAGAGTAGTTAAACACAAATAAACCCACACCCTTTGGCTCTATTGCTGCTAAAAACCTTACAGTCACATATGCATCTAATGGAAAAAATATAAACACCCAGCCAGGATCTGAAGCTCATTTAGCATGTCTGTTTAAATCCATCACTATCTGCCAGGTGTATGAAGTTAGAAGGAGAAATCTTAAGAAGTCCAAGACCACATTACTCAGGGTTTAACATACAAACTGCAAAGAAAGTCAGGGAAACCTTCAGGAAAAAAACATATATATATATGTATTTATATATGTGTATACATACATACACACACACACACACACACACACACACACAGATTCTCTGTATTTATAGATACATGACTTGCAGGGGCCAGTCCTTCACTGAGGGTAGATACATACAATGTTTGAGAACTAGTTTCTAAAACTGTAAATTAGAAGCATCATAGGCATCCAAAATCATACTTAGGGAAACTTCTACTAACATGTTCAATAAGAACTCAAAGCTTTGAACCTATATACTGCAAATATATGTGTTTAATACATTGAAAGAACTCTACATTTAAATAAGCTTATTCTGAAACATGCAAGCAAAGCTAGTGCTATTAACAGAAAATCATAGCTTTAACTGTTTTTTTCTTTCTGTAAAATATCAGATCTATGGTTGTCTGAAACATCTTTATAAGACGTCTTATGCAACATGTTAGTACATAAAAAACCATTTGTGTCAGTAACGGATGAAATAGCAATCTTTCAAACTAAAACATTTTACAAATATCTGATGTGAAAAAACGCCTTACCTTCGCTTTTTCCAGCTGTGCCTGGGCCTGTCGCTCTGCCTCTCTCCGCACTGCTTCCCTGTCTTCTTCCAGAGATACATCTGAATCGGATGGACGGCTGGTGTAGGAGTCCGCCGAACCCTGAACGGGAAAAGGAAAAATAATGTCACAAGTTGTTCTAGTGTTCGGGAGAAAAAAAAAGGAAAAAAAAAAAAAAAGAGTGTTTATGCACCTTGTCTTTTCTCCTACTTCTGCATCCCTGAAGAGAGATTAATTGCACAAAAGAGAAAATCACTTAGAAAAATTAAATAGACAAAAAAAGTAAATGTTTTTCTCTGGATACTTTCCAGAAGTGCAGGTGTCTTACCCAGTGCTTTATTTCCTGCACTATTCCCATGCTCCTATATTTGTAAGCTTTTTAGTAAGCAGAGCCAGCTACTCTGTGGAGTTACAGCAGTGGTGCAGTGCAGGGCTGAAGGACACACAGCAGCTTCAAGGAGGGCTCCATAGAAATTAAAACTCTAACAGTAACTGCATTAGGGAGGAAACAGATTTTATTACAAAAATGCAAATTTGTTATCAATAATTACCCTTACACAATATCACTGCCAAGAGCTTTAAGCTGCACTATCCATTTTCATTTTAGGGCAACCTCTTTACCTGACATACTTTCCCCATCAGAACTGAAAATGGCTCATATCCATCTCTGCCCCTCAGCAAAACATGTAAACGACCACAAATCAACTCCCAACTAATAAAATCCGCCTGGCCTCAGCACCCAGCCATGTATCGCCACAATGCAACTAGTCACAACGCCAGAAGAGCTCTATAAATAATGACAGCTCCGGTTTTTCCCTGCATCTCTCTGCATACAAAACAGACTTCTGCTAATTTAATCAGAATGAAAACAACTGTCCTCTCCTTGCTGTAGTTCTCTCTCCCTCTCTCAGCAACATATATAACATATGCCAACAATGAAAACAGGCTTACACAGATATCAGAATTCTTCAGACGTCCTCCTTTGGCTCTTTTCAGAAGCCTGATCCAGGTGGCCTTCATTAGCCAGACAGCTCAGTGAGTGTCCGCAGCTGCAGCGCCCGGCACTGATCTCATGAAACATGTGCACACGGAGCACCGCAGAAGCTCCGCTCCGTTCCTATCCATGCTCTGCTGCCAGAGCCTTCCCTTCTCGTCCCTCTGCCTTGCAAGCTTTCAGCCTCACTGTTTCCAAGTAGTCTCGTGCAATTAAATTCTCAATTTTTTCTCATGCCAGTAAAAAGACCAGGGAAAAAAAAAAAAGCCAAATACCAGCAGCAGGAAAAAGAAAATTGAATAATAAAAAGGTAAAATAAGCCAGACTTCAGGTAAATGTTGTGAGAGATGCTTCAATTGATAACAAACTGAGATCGGTAGCAAAAAATACCTAGGGCTTTTTCCATTTTGTTTTGGGGGGCGGGCTTGGCTGTTAAAAATAGTGCTTATAAGCGAACCTTTTAAAATCCTGTGCGGAATATATTCGGTGACATTTGCAAGTGCAAAGTTCATTTCATCTCCTCCTCGCTGGGCTGGGGGTGGGGTAGCGGCTTTCCCTAGCACTGGGCATGCTCCATCTGTGCAGCCTTTTACGCAGATGCTCACATCACACCGTGCCGTGAGCCTATGCCAAGCCGCCGTTGGCTGTCTCAAGGGTAAACAGCTGGAAAACGCAAGGACCCTGCGAAACTGCAAGGGCTGGTGCAGGGTCGCGTTTTTGTCACATACGTCTGTCACGAGCCACGCGTCTCCCCGACGCGCGAGTTCTGTCACACAGAGCTCCCCTTCGCCATGAAGTGTCGAGCTAGGATCTGTGCTGTTACAGGAACGTAAATCCAAAAATATGCCTGTTGGGCAAGAATTTAACCCTCTGATTACTGCCTATATGTTTTCTGACACAAGCAGATGACAGAAGCAAAGAATTCCTGCGCATACCTCATGATCCATAGTATGAGACCCCAAAATGCTAAAAGCAAGACAAAGCACTGATTTTGTATATTTTGCCTTTTCATCAGTCACAACCTATGTAATTTCAAAAGCGGACATGGGAATAACATGCTACAGCATGATTAACCAGGACATTTCCATTTCACAGGCAGATATGCAAAATTCTAATCAAAAAAGCCTCACTGCAGCCAAAGTGGCTGCCTTTGGAACTCATACACAGTTAACGTGAAAAAGAGACGATAACAAGAGATTAGTGTGGAGAACGGTGGTCATTCGTGTGAAACAGCATGTCAACATTTCCTAGGAACTTGGAGCTCCCTGGTTGTGAAGAACCAAACTCTGCCACTGTTTACGCCTGCTTCATTACAAAATTACCCCATTACAGGTAATGGAACATTCTACATTTAACCACTGTTAAAGCAAACAATAGTTGTCACTAAGCTGCCAGTGTAAAATAAAGGTAGTTTTTAAATTTCAAAATATTTTTTCCTGAAGCCCATAATATCTGCCATTTCAAAATTTAGTATGTTGTCTTTGAACTCTACACCAAGGAAATTATTCTCTAAGGGATATTTTGCTTACTGCGAGCACAAATATATCTACTGTTACATTGAATTTCTAAAGCCAAAATGCCTCCTGAATTAAAGCAAAAGGATCAGAAAAGTATCAATAAAACATACAAAAAGCTTTATTAAATTATTTGAAAAAGAACTAGAGTCACTGTAAACTCTTAAGGATCCTTCATGCTTTAAAATGTCCCTTCGCCTTCTAATGTAATACCACTGTGGAGAAGAGTGGCAAAAGATGAGTGGCAGGAAGTTGCCCCAAGTTTAACGCCAGCCTCAGGACGCGGTCCTCCTTTGACCTCTGAAGAAGCTTGAGTGCTGCTCTGGATAACACAACAGCATTTGTACCACTGCATTAGCCAAAGCTGAGCCTGCAGAGAAACTCTCCTCCTGAAGCCCCATCCCCTGGGGAATGCAGGGGTCCCACCACATCCCAACATTGCAGAAAGGACCACGTCCAACACCTTCCCGAGCACCTCTCTGACGCACATCTAAGCCCAGTGTCCTAAACCAAGCTCTAAGCAACATTATCTTTAAATAAAAGAAGAAAACAAACGAACAAGCCATTAAGCCTGGCACTGCAACCACTCAACTGACAGTGTAGGTGTTAGTGCTCTGCAGCAGCTCCACCTGTGAGTACATCATATTTTCCACTGATGAAGTAGCACGGCATCATTTTTACTACCGCTCATTCTGCCATCCAGAAGGAGCACTGCCCAACTAGTCTTCGGCCTGCAAAAAGAGTCACGAAGCTCAGGAATAGAAATCTTGCCTGCCATCACAAGGCCTTTCTTGTCAGGCTGGGATTACTAAAACCAGAATTTCATTTTTTTGGGCCACAGAGATCATTTGCTATGCTGGTCATATCCTGTGTTGACCACAGTCCCAAAACACACCCAAAGAATCATCTGATTCAATTTATTTTAATTATATTGACAAATCACATGAATCAAACTCAACATCGTATTTATTTCCCCTGTGGGACAGCCAGAGCCAGGCAGGTTTTCTGTGGAAACAGAAGCTGGGAGCTTCTTTGTTCTTTCAGTATGGGGGGGGGAAAATATATATATATACATACACACATAGACATGCGTATATATATATGCACACACACCAAAGCCTGAAATCAGGGCAACCCAGGAAAAGGGAGACCATAAAATCAGAATTAATAAATTAATTTTATAAATTACTGACTCAGATGAGCTAAGATTTTTTTGAACTCTTTAAAAGATGAAAAAACCCTAAAATTAGTTTTCAAAATTAGACAAAACTACAGTGAGCTATCTTAGAAACACCTTGAATATTCAAGGAAAATCATGAGGTAAGGCCACGCAGATGTATGTTGTCCATTCACAACAGGTAAGGAGATTGGATTATCTCCAGGGTTATACTAGTTGTAGCAGTTATTCCAGGCAGATTATGAATCTTCTTCCAACTGCCTCTGAAATTCAGCCATTCAGACAGAATTTCAGCAGGTCTTCACTCCATTCCACTGGGACACAGAAGAGCCCCAGTGACAGATACTCCCATAGCCCGGTCATTCCCTCATCTTTCATGGGAAGCCATCTGATAATAGGGAGACGGTTCATTTTAATAGTTACCCCATCTCTTCATTTTCCCCCTCTTTCCTTTTTCTCCTAACTTGATAGATTTACTAAACCAGGTTATCTGAAACACCAGTTTTTGTTTTAATGACAAGCTTGACAAGAACAGGTAACCAGAAACAGTATAACGTACTACATTAGATTCCATATGGTCATTTTATTATATGAAGCTGGGCTTTTCATGCAGTGTGTGGTCACGCATGATCATACTTGAGCTTCCTCTTTTTTCCTTCCAAACCAGACTGTCCTGTCGTCTTCCCTAGTATCAGAAGCACATCACCTTTGAAAGACTGGGCCACTCAAGCAAACTCCTTAGTTAAATTAGGTGGTGCTTCTAAGTCTCTCATTATCCTTGTTAGGCTTCTGAAGCTTGCTGCACCTATAAACAATGTCTAAGCACATAAAAAAAAAATTAAGAGGAATTTAAAACTTTAGTCAGTAAAGCTGGAGCGTAAAGGACAGGTTTTGTCTACAGAGTAACAGTGTAAATCATTTGATGGATATAGTCCCTCACTTTCCTACTAAATTCTTCCTCTGAGTTGACAAAGCTATCATTACATTTCCAAATTCAGTCACGGACTTCATATTAGAACATTTTCAGAAAAATGAAAGAGATTCTCTGATTACCACATGTTTCTCTAATTTGGCAATCCCACTTTTGAATTGGATACCATTACAACTAACTTTCCTAACTCCCCCAAAGATTCTCAAATAATTTTCTAATTAGAAAGATTGAGCACCTTTCAAAATCCTTTCAAACAGGGATTTTACATTATTATTTATTAAATAAACACATGAAGCTGTAGATGAAGATACAACAAGATTTTACAGGGACTAAAAAATGTACACATGAATACACACATATTCAAATTGTTTATCTACAATACTGAGGGTGTTTTTTTTCTCTTGATATATCATTTTTTCATCCACTTAATCCTGAGAAAAATTTTCAATCCAAAAGGATAAATATATTTATGTACTCATTTGCTTTATATTTTTGAATATGAAAAACTAAGGCCTCATTGTGCTTGTAAGACAATCCATTTCAGTATTCAGGATTAATATATGTCTATTGCTAACTTTCTAAGATTTCTAATCTTTCTGGAATTATCAGAGTGACATTACATGTCCTGCTAAAGTATGATTTGATATGGTGTATTATGCCCATCTATTACTTTACTATCATGTACTACTACTTCTGGAGCACCAACAAAAAAAATAGGAAAAAATATTGAAAAGTCATTTCCCTGAAGTTTTCCTTTTACTTTAAATGCTTGACACTGCTTCACACCAAAAGCAAAATGTGAAGTGCTAAATTCTAGCCTAAAGTGAAAAGTCTAAGACAGGCAAATTTTACTTATAATATGCCAGTGGGGAATAAAGATTGCCCTTTTCCATCCTCATAAATTGACCAACCTGAAGTCTATGGGCCATACACTTACTTCTTTTTAAAAGTAAAAATCTATCAAGTTTTCTCTAGAGCTCTGAACAATTCACTATTTCAACTGATGGTAAAGAAAAAGCACAAAACACCGTTCTGAGATTATATGGAAGTAGTATCTTTACCAGAAATACCAAATTAATTCTGATTAGTCATTTATTACAGTAATACTGTTTGGTGTGCATGGCTTGATCCAAAGAAACATAATGTAACAAAGGAGAGAGATAACATATTCATCAAGGGGATGTTACTCAGGAATAGTTTGCTCCTTGGGCAAGGGCCATGGACACTCCATAGCTTGGCAACCACCAAGTCTAGTCATAGTGGCCTCTCCGCTCCTTGGCACAGCCTTTGTAGAGGTTGGCCATTTGCCCACTACACATTTACATTTGAATGCAATAAAACTGTGCTCTCCACAATTGCTATATAAGGAATGCTGTCAACTCCTACTGTAGTCACTGAAGACCTTTGCTATGTTTGCTTTAAAAAACAAAGCAACATCGACTGGTATCTTTTTGCAGCTGACCTAACTGGGCATTGCTTTGATGTCCATGAGGGACATTCCTGTAGCAAGAGTAAAATTTCAGAATGGGGGGGCACTTTAGGGTGGGAATATGATTAAAAAGCAGATTATACAGGAAACCACTCTCCTTTCTACCCTTAACATGACTTTGGCAAGTCTGACTGCAGTGTCCAGATGGA